ACACACACACACACACACACACACACACACACACACACACACACACACACACACACACACACACACACACACACACACACACACACACACACACACACACACACACACACACACACACACACACACACACACACACACACACACACACACACACACACACACACACACACACACACACACACACACACACACACACACACACATATATATATATATATATATATATATATACACAGGCAGGAGTTTGAAAACCGATTAGCAGTGTATTCCGAAGCATCAAAACCGTCGAATAGCTCGTACCGAACGCCAACGCGAAACTCCGAAGGCTTCGAACTTGCCGGTCGCTCCACCACGACATTTATTAACTTTACCAACGCGGAAACTGCCGTGAGTTTCCGCCGCGACGCCGGATTACACGACGAATTAGGCAGGATTAGCTTTACCCAATTTTCCCGCTCCTAGTTCGTCTGATAGACGAAGCGAAAAATAAGTCGACTGCTTCGAGAAGATTCACGAAAACATTTTCGTCCGGACAGAGTGAGATACGAGACACAATGGACAAAGCGGAATAAAAAATATATAAAACAATCTGGTTATGTATAAAACGCATAAAAACAGATTCTATTTCATATAAAATATGAAATAATATTTTCTGTTCCTTATGATATCCAAAGGAATAGTTATATATACCTCTAAAAGAGTTATAGAAAATTATAACTGTGCATATGCGTATGTGCAAGTTATTATATATTTATTACATATTTATATTAATTTCACGGGATTAATTTGCATGAAAAATGTCAAAAAAATTAGATTTTTATATTCACGATATCATATTATTTTCTTCTTTTCTTTGTTATTTATTTTTTTATAATATTATATGTACCGTGAGAGGAGAGTTCTTCCCTTTATTATTAACAGATCAAATTTTTTTTTCTTTTTTTTTTGATTAATAAAGATTTGTCACAAAAATATTGGTTGTATATAAGGGCTGGAGATAAGATAACGTGACCGAGAATTGCGCGATGGAAGTTTGCCAGATCGAATTTTTGACAGAATGATATGAAGAGAGAGGAGGGGATCGAGAGGAGGATGTTTCTAGATGAGGACGCGGAGAGAAATCGGAGAAGCTGTCAACGGAGCGCCATGCATCTGCCACTTATCCGCGCCACCACCCTCGACCCGGGGTGTACCTTTTTTCCCACAATGACGCTCCACTTCGTTACAATTATCGCCATTATTCGGGCGTGAGGAGAGAGAGCGCGTTTTAACGCACAAGCCGCGCGCACAATGGTTCAATATATCTATACACCATCGATGCATCTTCATACACGCACACACACATACACACACAAATACACACATATGTATAGATATGATCCGGAGCTCGTCGCGACTGCCGCTCGAAATCGACCGTCGATTTTTCCTTCGATCGCACGTTTTATTGTGTTTTGACAGCGACGGTGTGAGCTCTGGTTTCGCGCAACCACCTCCGGTCGGCTTTTACCGTCTCGCGCAGTCGTAGCCATCGCCGGGAGATTGATCTTATCGACGCTCGAGTTTGCCCCGCGAATTTGAGAACACCTTACTCATCATCACCGCCTTCCGTCGTCGTTGCTCGCCGCCACCCTCTTGGCTTCCTCGGTTTCTTTTTGGTAGCGCTGGACGATCGTATCTGATCGGACCAGATATAGAGTTACGAGTTCGTCCAGGTCCTGTTTCGGCGCGAGCAAATACGGTCCCTGGTTATTTCGAGGAGGAGGGTGCCTTCTTTGAAAGGCTCGTTTTATCGCGCCTATCTACGCGCGATTTTCACTGTTGCCGATAATGCAATGCCCCGGCTACGTAGATCCGTAGTCGGGTGCCACATTCGCGGAGCGAAAAAGCGCGCAAAGTGGATTATACCGGGAAATTGCATCTTTTTACACGACGGGATATTCGCGCAAATTTACCGTTAAATGCGGCGCTAAGAGCCGTACTTACGTTCAATATGTTCTTCGTCACATTTATTTAATTATACGGTTGTAGACGGTTGTGCCTGAAAACAAATAAATCTGATTAAAATAATTTCCGCTGAATAAAATTATATGTATAATATTCTTTTTCTCGAGCGAAAACTTTTGTAGTAAATATTACATTAAATTGTAGTAATAATTATATCAGTATATCTTTAATACTGATTGAAATTTAGTTCCATCTTGCTTATAATTTGACGCCTTATAATCGTGTGTGTAAATTCAAGTCCCACGAGAAGAACATTTTTAATTTGTATTCAAGAATTAAATATATCATCTTTGATTAGAATTAAATGTATATATAAACAAAGAATAAAACATCTTATAAGTTTTATAGTTTTCTATGTTATATAATATTTGGTTACATAATACAACATGTAATTTACATAAATGCTCCATGGCACTATATAAGAGCGAAATTATAATTTAAAAAATATTTTTAAATTTTAAACAGTAGTCAGATACAACGTATACCGATAACATATACTGATAACTACTACCGACGAGGTATCAATCGTCCACGTTTTCGACGATAAAACTTTGATAATAGCAATATTTTCTAACGCAAAAAATAGCGACCATGTCTATGCGAGAGCTCGCCGTCTGTCTTGTCTGACAGATAACGTGATACCGCTATCTGCAGCCGTTGCACGTACGGGATCTACCGGGTGACACGCGATTTCACCAATGAAACGTTTGCAGGCTCATTTTCGCACGTTCGCGGCAATACGTCAACGTTGTATTTCCGTTGCAGCAACTCGGCCACGTACAGAAACGCGAATAGTCGCTACAAGGGAGAGGTAGTTAATGGAGGGTGAATTCTAGAGAAGAGGAGGAGAGGAAAGGAGGGAACGGCGGGCTGTTATTTGCAACGAGTCGCAACAATTGCAACCCGAGCCGATCGCGCGCGGTACCTCCGATTAGGGTAAACGCCATATTGCTGCGTCGCCCCTCTCGTCCCTGCTCCCCCCACCTCCCTTCATCCCCTTCTGATTGAAAATAGTGTTTTTGTGCAAGCCGAAACGGCAGATATGAAACCAGCATGGCGGATGCTTACAAATAGTTGCGGGGCGGCGACTACGTACCTATAAATGCACCTCACCCCACCCCCCGACAACCCCGAACTCCTCGCGCCTTTTGTCCGCGAATCGCGACCACGCGAGACGAGAAAGGATTTTTTGACGAGCGAACATCGCGAGGGATGTAAGAACGACGGAGAGACGCCCCTACGGAATCCTCCGATCTTCCCGTCCTCCTTCACCCTATCGCGTAACGTCTTTCTGATGCGGCGACCCTATCGACTTTATCCCGGAGGCCCGAATTTCGGATCGGTTATGAAAAGACTTAATTGCGGACGAAAACCGGTTGTCACATAGGTGGTGCAAAGATGTATATATAGTTATGAAGTTATTACTTAACGACACACATTAGTTTGTTTAACAAGCACAATTTGAGAGTTAAATAAATTAAAAGAATTCTAGTATCACAATGAAATAACTAATTTAGCTTTAAACATATTCTCGTCTTTTATATTTATTAAATTACGTTACTAAAAGAAAATTAATATCATAATATTTACGACGGCTAAATTCCAGATATATCTTAAATCTATCTTAAGTCCATTGAGAACAAAGTAATCGAATTAATATTAAATTATGAAACAATGTACAGAGTCAGGCTTTTGTTAACATATCCTTGAATTAAAATATTAAAGATTAAATTTAGATAGATGAATTCGAGAAAAGAAATTATGAATCATTGAGATAGCATGTGCATTTTTTGTAGCGATGAGAAAATAAACATGCATAATACACAAAGATATCAATTTCAAATCTGCATCATCATCCACATTTTTAAGTGAACAAGAAAATTGCAAATAAATGCGTAAAATGTAAAGCTAAAAATATTAATTATAACTAAATTTTAGAAAATATTAACCACAGCACGGCATAGTGTACCCCATTTTTTAATTCAGCTATCTAAGTATATATTATGCTATTTTGTGTGCTAAATGTATAAATAAATTACATGAAATCTTTACCTGAAATCAAAATTTGTTCGATCTTCCAAGGGTAACTTTCAAGCATCAGAATCATAAGACCAACCTTGAGTCTTCATCCCCTTCGTCGAGTTTCACGACGGTGGAGCGACACGCACGGAATAAGAGAGAAAGCGATGCCTTTTCCGAAACTCACGGTGCAGCAACGCGCTCTGAAAACGGAAAACACGCATCGATCGCCTCTTGCAATTCCCCGGTCCAGGATCGGCTATGATATCAAGCTACGTTAGGCCACGTAGAGATAAGAGAGCGACACACCACCACTGTCAGGGCCGTCACCGTCTCCACTACCGCCCCCGGTGGCCAGAATATGCCGGCCGGGATCAATATCGCAACGTCGTGGGTGTGACGGCCCATGGTGGGTTCCATCTTCATCCGACCCTCCGCTCTTCTGATTGGTCGACGTTCCGGCATTTGGGTTTCCCTTGCCGTGTAGCGAATGTTACGCAGGCTACTCGGGGTCCCCTCACTATGCAGAACCCAGCGCGGGTTCCCCGTGCGATGGGCGGGCTCCGGCTATGCGGCCCCCGTGCTGGAAGTGGGGCGAGGAGTCGGTCGACGAAGCAGTCGCACGACCGAGGGATCGTAAATCATGACCAGTCGGCCGCACGGTGCGCATCGCGACAAACAGGGTGAAAACTGTCGGAAAACCACCGCGATCGTCGGCGGTCGCCACCCCCGGAGCGGTGATTTACGGACCATCGCGTTAAGAGTCTCCGTTGGGGTACCGCGACAACGGTTACGACGAGTTCAGTGCGCAGAAAAGTGCTCCGATACAGTTTCTCCGATGTCGGTTCTCCAATGACTCCATGACTACGTAGTTCAAAGTGGAAAGTCGTCGCTGACGCGACCGCGACGAGGGTAACCCCCCTCGGTCGCCGACTTTGGGAGGATAATTAGTCTAGTTGTTGATTCGACTGATCATCATGTGCAGCAACGAGAGCCCGCCGCCGGCGAAGGAACCACTGGCCGTCGGCCTGGGTAATCATATGGCCGGCTTTCTACCAGGTCTCGAGCACTATCGGCTTCACCTGTACCATTATGCGATGGCGGAACGATTGCGGCTGGCGCAGAGTTTACATCCGCAGCATCCTGGTGTGGCGGCACATCCGCCGTCGGGTGCGCCGACAGCCCATCTAGGAATGAGTCCGGGTTTCCCGGCGCCACTGCCGCTGTATCCGGCAGCCGCGGCCGCGGCCGGCTATCCCAGCCGACTGGCCTTGTCCATGGCGCTGCTGCATCCGCATCATCAGCGAATACCCGAAGAGCCGAAACCTCAGCACAGCTACATCGGCCTGATCGCCATGGCGATACTGTCGTCGCCGGAGAAGAAGCTTGTGCTGTCCGACATCTATCAGCATATCCTCGAGCACTATCCCTACTTTCGTACCCGCGGACCCGGCTGGCGAAACTCAATCCGGCACAATCTTTCGCTCAATGACTGCTTTGTCAAATCCGGCAGAAGTGCCAACGGCAAGGGCCATTACTGGGCGATACATCCGGCGAATTTGGAAGACTTTCGACGCGGTGACTTCCGCCGGCGCAAGGCTCAGCGCAAGGTGCGCCGGCACATGGGCCTGGCGGTGGACGAGGAGCCGGACAGTCCCAGTCCGCCGCCCTTGCCCGCCACTCCGCCACCCTCGACGGCCCTCGGACCCTCGGTGGCCTCGCAACAGATATCTGCGATGTGGCCGCATCATCACCACCACCAACAGCAGCAACAGCAGCAGCAACAACAGAACTCCTTTCAGAGCCAGTCTCTTCGACAATCGTCCTTTCAGCCGAGAAAGCGACAATTCGACGTGGCATCCCTGCTTGCGCCAGACGATCAGCATCAAATTGAGGCTGACGTGCTGAGATCGGTCAAGTCGCGCAAGTTCAGTTGCAGCGAGGACGAGCTGCCAGAGGCCGATCAGGACGACGAGGACGTCGATGTCGACGTGGTGGCCGATGCAAACGCCTTACCATCGCCCGGCACACCGCCGTCGACTAGCCCGGAACTACCCAAAGTCGTGTCACCGGCTCATTGGAACAATCAGAGTGTACAGAGCGGCGGTCAGCAACAGCAGCAACAGCAACTGTCAGCCGTACACCTTCACAATCATCTACACGTCAGAAATTACTACATCCCAGCTAACTCCGCCGGCGGTTCCAGCGTCTAATGGCGAGCTTAGAAGAAGCCGGTCGATCCGTGCGGCAGGTAGCTGCTCGTATCTCAAGTGCATCCACGATCTTCTCTCGTTTCCTATCCTTTCCACGCGGTTTCGAGAGCTCTGAATGTATGCGTCCCACTCTTGCAACGCATTATTCTCTCATCTACGATATGTTCTTTGGCAAACTTATATAGTCAATTATTCCTCAATAAAGATATCGCGATATATACTCATGGTTTTCGAAACGAAAAAGTTTTCGATGAAATAAAATAGTTCAGTAGAAAATATAACAAATAACAAGATTATATTTTTCAATTAATTTTAAACAAAATTTAATAGCATTTTGAGATTAACTGCAAAGAGATGTAATATTAAAAAATAGAAAATTACTCCATAAATGGAATTATCTTGTTCAATTAAAGTAAATATATAAAGAAATAGAAATTAATTAATTAATAAGTAATGAGTTTCGTCGACATTAAATTGATTGATGAATATATCATCACAAAATAATGCGACAAAAGTGGGATACACTGTACGCAAAGATTTGAAAATGATACGGGCTCAAAAGATAATGATTAAATTCTAGGAGAGGACAGTTAAAGTTACTAAGAATTTTAACAGTCTCATAATATTCCGATATAAATAGCGTGCATTAATTAGCTCATTGTAAAAAAAGCAATATATTGAATTATTATACTATTTGAACAATGAATCTTATATTATATGTATATATTTTTTATTTTATATTATTTATTTATATATATATTTTTATGTATTATATATTTTTATATATTATTATGTCGATTCAAACAATCGCATGTAAGTTATATGTTCAGCCCTTGTATCATTTTTAACGCTATTCGTATATTCAGACATCGAAACAACACAACTATCTTTTCTTTAAAGTTTTATATTGATATGACACGCGTGAAAAATATGCGTAGGTGATCTCCGAAACGAATAAGGCGGAAAGTTGCGGGTGAAAATTGTGTGTTAGTAAATTAGACCACGTGAAAAAATAGATCAATCTATGGCCGATTATGTTTCTAATAACATCACCGTAAAATCGCATTCTCGCGTGTTGCTCGCACGTTCTTACGTCGCTCTGTACGATAAAGCAAAGTTTCGATCATTCGTCGTTTTATCGGAACTTTAACGGGAAGAAACGGGAGAATGTGAGGGGAAAATAGTCGCCCGTAGATTTTTATAATGATCGAAAAATTTACCTCAAACGTTCACACTTGGCATTTGAATCAAAATATCCAGACAGCACAAATATTCCAAAAATATCGTACAAGCGTTTAAGAAACGTTGTAAAAGTGTCTAAAAAAATATTTCTAATGAGCTGTAAATTGTTGATTTTTGTGCTATTTAGATACACCGATTTTTTAAATATCTTTCATCTCATTCTTTTCTCAAATAATGAACGGGTTCCCATACAGATAACAGCTAGCTTCCTGTCGACGGGCGATCGACCTTTCTCACTTAGAACGTGGAAAATAATTCGAGTCTGATAATTCGAGTTTGGCGAATCAAATGTGAACTTTGGTTACGGAGAACTTATACTTGTATTATATAGATAAATGTTTAAGGAAAGATTATGTATAGACTGGAATTTGACAATAGAATCTCAGCATGAAATCTGTGACGAGTACTAATCGTAAATCTATTTATCTCAAAAGAGTGACGGAAATAAATCGCATCTTAATAATATATAAAATTAATGCTTCTCCAGTATATATAACATATTTATTTATAACATCTGTGTTATATATATAGTATATGTTATATTTGCCTTGTAATATAGACAGTTATTTGTTTATAAGAGTCTTAAAACAGATATATAAAATTTTTTAATCCACTGCCTCTCGAAAAATTCAATTCGCTACACTTTCGAGATAAACGATTCGCATTTCACCCTGAGATTTTATTGACAAATTTAAGGTTTTTTTGTAAATACGAAGACCGCATACAGCCAAGTTACCGGAAACGGCGATGCGGTAGGAAATTGATGTACGCGGGGCATTACGTCAGACTGATGATTGCGCGATCTCCGCTTGTTCAAAGTGTAATATAAAAGTCGGTTTAAGAGATTTAACACATATAAGCGCATCCCCATTGCATAATCCACGCGTTGGTAGAGACGGTAATAACGAAGATATATTCTGTACAAACCCCAGTATTCCCCTTCCCATCCCCTCCCCATCCCCCATCCTCCGGTCCATCCCCTTGTATGTATGTATGTACATGTATCGATGTATACGTACCTGCGTATATAATTCATATAAATTCGGGACGCGATCGGGAATCGATGATATCGCCTCGACCGACGTCACACCGATGAGAAACATGCAAGACCATTTTTTTAACAGTTACCTCGTAAGCATACGCCGGCAGCCTGTTACTGTCTCGATGCAACTTGAACTTTAATAAAGTTTCTGTTCCCACGAATATATGCCTACGATCTCCGTTAATTATAACCTGTCTCTCTCCTCAAAAAAATGAAAATAATAATCGCATGAACATTTTTATCGAAATAAGGGTCATTACGCATTATTACCGATGTAAGTAATAGATATGCTTCTCTCTCTCTCTCTTTTTCTCTTTGTCTATACATTGACTCTCACATTAATCCAAGATCATATAGGCACATATCCGTTCCTGTTTTTAAATTTTTTTCAAAATTTCACAAAATTTCTTGTTAATATTTTCAATGTATGTCTTCGACTCGTAATCTTCAAAAGCTTGCTTTCTTGCACGAATTTTGCGAAACAATTTTCTTTTTCTTTCTATAATTATTTTTTTGTGGTCAACCCTCCCCCCCCCCTTTCCTTTCCTTTGTTTTATATATATATATATAATACACACACAGACACACTTAGTATCTTCGACATTTGCATTTGTGTCTGTTTTCTTATTCCCGGAAAGATCTTCTGCTTAGGTTTGCTCAAGCTTTGCCAACGATTATCGCTCCGATATTGACGATATCTTTTTCCTGTGCAGTCTTTGGTATTTGTGCGTTAGCTAAGAAAAATGATGTCCGAGTTGACAGAAACATTCCGCGCGCGCCGTTAGGCGACGCATGAAGAGTGTCTAAGAAATCTATTTGTCGTGATAACAAAACGGAGAGAGAAAGACTTGGCCATTAGTTAATGTACATAAGTCACAAGATGAACGTTTGTTGCACACGAGATGACTAGTCGCGAAAAAAATTATTTCCATCCCCGCAAAGATGAGTGCATTCTTCACATCTATTATTGATTGCACATGCTATTATTAAATCGAGAAAGAGAGAAAGAGAGAGAGAGAGAGAGGGAGAGAGAGAGAGAGAGGGGAAAAATACCTAACCAGAAAAGAAACTAATTTATCGAAGGTAATTGAGAAAATGAAATAAAAAAGTAAAGAAACGTGTAAGGCGTGTGTAATGCCACTAATCGAAAGAAGTTTTATCGATGTTGACATTAATACGTAACCACATCTTGTGTATTGCATAATAGTAACAATGTATTTTCTTATATAAGATTTACTTTGGATAGCTGAGAGCTTTAGTTAAATATCTTCTAATAATGCGGCAAACTTCTTATCCAATATTCACGCGTTTAGAAAAAGCGTAGAATATTTTCTCGGAATAGTTGCATTTTAAATAAAAAACCTTGTATCGTTGTAAAAATATTACTATCAAATATATATATCAAATGATTGAAACGATGATACACGAAGGTGAACATTGCGCATCAGAGTTTTGAGCTGATTGACAAGTGACGGTACAAATTTGCTGATACTCTTTCGTGTTTTCTGTAAAATCATTGCAACTTGTTAAAGTATGCTCGCGATTGCCGATTGATCGAATATGACCTCTCCAATGATAAATATGTATCGTTGTCTATCGCTTGCACTAATGCACGAGAATATAAAGACTGCTTCGCAAAACATTAGCATACAAAGTTGACAAGCGAATAGAAATATTTCAAATATAGTTCCTCCTGATGACGGCACGTTTAACTAATACCCAAGCTGACAATCGCTGCAACACGCAAACGTATTTGACGGCGATAACACTCGGTGATGCGATATCCGATGACATGCTCGTAATAAAGTGAGGAATAACCTCGATCTAAAAAAACCACGTAATTTAGAGTACATTACAACGATACATATTAATGTCGATAAAAGATTCAAAACTTTTATTTTATTTAACATAACTTTATATTTAGTCTATATTTTTTTTTTTATCTTAACGTAATACCTTTTTTAAAATGTATTATTCATGCATATATATATATTTTTAGGACAAAAGAGAATTGAAGAGGATATGTATATAAATACAAATCCTAAAAATTTTTAAATATGCTTTAATTTATTTAGATAATAAAAATTTAAATCTACCAGGAATAAATCCTACGGAATACAATTTGAGAATTAGAGATGCCTGTGGTGCATTTTTTGTTTAAAAGAAAAAGCTGAATTTCTTTGCAAAATTTCGTTATCTCGCAATAACTACTGACACTGACAAACCTTTTCTTCTCAGAAAAAGTCATGTCTCTTTCACTTATCCGAAATTTTAACGACAAAGGTGGCGATGTATCTTACGTTGGGCAAAAAAGATCGTCACGCATTACCGGTATCTGGCTTGAACTAATGTAAATAAAATGACTGTTTTTGTTTATCGCAAATAATTCTGCCGGAAAATCATTCTTTGTCATTTTTATTGTTTTAATGGACAACATGCTGCTATGACTTTGTTCGAGTCTGTAAAATAAATCCCCGTGTAGTTTCTTGCGGATAATCTTCTTGTTCCAAACTTTTCTGAAGTTTCGTTGAGTAAATCGCGATAAAATTTTTATGTCAATATCAATTCAGATTGTGTATTTATTTGTAGAAAGATATGTTTTTAGAGATATACACATCAATGAGAGATCGTTATCATATTATCATTAAATCTATGCTTTGTATTTTTGTAATTATATAAAATAATTATGATTTTTCGCAAATGCAAAAAATATTCACACAAATTCTCGTATTTATTATAATATACCTAGCTATATAAATCAAAGAGTTTAGTTGCAAAAAGTTATAAAATTATTTCATAAGATTAATAATCATTCAAAAATCAAAATTTTGTTTGCGACACCGAGAAGTAATATTTCTAGTTTCCCCCCTCTATCAAAAAACGACTTCTATTTGTTGAATGGCGCGCTTAATGCGCGAGATTGTCGTTAATGACACATCAAATTGGTTTAAGATCCGATTGTGAACGATGTCGGGCATAGGATTTAGCTGCGCAATCCTGTCGGCGTGTATTTATCGACGGGCATTTCGTAGCGTCCCATTGTCTCTCGATTCATCAAATGAAGCCTCAGGCGATCGCTAACTATAAATCCTTGGTGGGAAACGCGCCCGACGACGATGATGACGACGACGAGAAACCTGACAAAGGGGAACGAAAGCAATTTGTTAAATATTGCTTGCGGCAAAGTAAACGGCACAAACACCGGAGCCATAGCAATGCCCGATTTAAGGAGGCTACCTGTCGACGAGAATTATTCTGTGCCAACATATTATGGCATCACTCCCATATAAATCTTCCTTGAATACTGGAAGAATAATCATTAAAAAAATATCTGCAAATTAAAATTAATTTGACGTAATATTAATAAAATAATTTTGATATATTTGATCATAAATGGT